AGGCGGAGCGGGCGAGGAGCGGCCGCGGGGCCTCCCCGGGCGGGAGACAGTAACGTGTGGCCGGGGAGGCGTGAAGCGCTTCCTGAGGCGGCACCTCGTGGAAACAGCCCCTCCGTGGTGGCTGCGTTCCTCTCGGGTGCGTCCTAACCTTGTCCGTAACTTTACTCTGCTGAATTGAGGTCTGTGGCCCATCGCGATTTGATTTCAGCTGATTACAAGCTATTCTGTTTGGTCTCTCTTTGCAGCAGGAAGGCCGTAGCAAACTTGCATACAAATACAATAAGCACAAGCAGGGGCACTTTGTCACTCACGGTGTCACGGGTTTAGACGCTGTCTCTTGCCAAGCCTGGCTTTTTAGAAGGAAGTGCAACATTTGGTTCCCCATATTTTTGCTTTGTTTTTCCTCCAAAAGCAGGTAACAAAGCAGGTGTGACGTCCAGCAAGTCGTTCGCCACGCACGTAGCTTAAATGCTTCCTGTTCCTAAGGTGGCTGCGTTGCTGTTGAGCAAAACCCCAGGCAGGACTAGCCCAGATGAGGTAACCAACTTGTAAACAGGAAATAAAGGGAGCTGGTAACACACAGATGGGTTTGTCCCTTCTGTGGCTCCTCTCTCCCCGTGGTTCCAAGTGTGCAGTTAACTACTGTTCCCTGTTGTYCTGGTGTYTCTGAACCAAACTCTTAGTGAACTTGGTATCTCCCCTCTTTGCAGAGAGCCTGTTGTAGCWTAGCGTTCCTAGATGATTTTAACATTTATACTTTCTTTTTTTTTTTTTTTCCCTGTGTTAATTGAYGCCCAAATGGCTATTCTTGGTATTCAGGGCAACACTGAATGAAATGGGATGGATGCTGGGCAGGTGTTAGTAGGCAGAAGTGGATAGTGAAGCCTTGTGACCCAGCAATAAATGCTACGAGGGCCCTACTGTTCTGCCCTGCTGTTTTGTTTTATAGCTCTGGCCACKGTTAGGAATATAGCAGTTCCCCTTCTTTTCATAACACTTAACTGTCCTAAAACAYTTTTTGCTTGGGATAAGTCCGCTGCTCCTGAGAAAAGGTCTTTAGCCTATCTCAAATGGTAACTTTAAGCTGCAGTGTTGAGGGAAAGYAGAGCGTGAGAAGTTCTTTGGGTTTCTGTTTCTTGTAAACTCTCCTTTTTGAGATGTGAAGACGCCTGAAGGAACCGTGTCATGAAGTGCATTTGAGGTGGGTCCCGAAGCTAAAACTTAACTGGCCTTAACTCAGTAACGTAAATGAGTGTGCATAGTTCAGCCGTTAACTGTAAATTAACGTTACTGTGTTTAATCAGCCTCAGCGATTTCCAGTTGACTTGGAAGTGTGTGCAGGTACCAGGTAACTTCCAACACTTCCAACTTGGGTCTTCTGAGAGGTGTGTGTCTCTTAGATATGAATTTTGCTTTGTTTTTTTGGTGTGTGTGCATGCTTGGATTTGAAGAAATGAGTAAGAATTTCAGAAGAGCAGTTTTAATGATGCTGCTTTAGTACACTTTAGAAGATGTTTTAGGTCAGGAATTTAAACCCGTAGCAGTGAGCCTGTGGCTTTTCCTGTTACTCCAGCTATTTGTATATCCACCCTCCACATGGAATACATATGGCTTTAAACCTGTACAGCTCTTGAAACCCCACAGAATTGATTTGCAAAATATTAACTTTTAGCTTTGCAAAATATTAACAAACTGAAGAGCAATTAAAAGAAACTTTAAAATGATTTTGTTAAGCCTGTTCCTGGGTGCGCGTGGGAGACTTTGGTTTGTTCAGACTATCTGCTGCAGCAAGACTTAGCTGCTCCTAGGGATCAGTAGTGCAGTGGGCAGCGGAGCGTCGTGAAGCGAGTGTTGGAACTCGATGGCATGCAGGTTTGCACTGAGTCAAAACCAAGGACTGTTTGCCAGACCTGACTACTGGTTTCATAGCTACCCTGGCCACTTGGTGCTTTTGGATTCTCGTCTACAATTGTATCATATTTATGTCTTCATAGCCCAAGAGAGCTCCACAATGTTAAAGAATCTGCTGAAACTTCTGCCAAATGTTATATGGATTGTCTCTTTTCCTTGGAAAGTGTTTGAGCTAGAGAATACTGCAGATTGCAGTAAATATTTTACCTCTTTAAAATCAGCTGTAGTGCRCAGTACACAGTGGTCTTGTGAGTCTCATGGCCAATAGCTGAATCTGAACTGCAGTTGAAAAGTATTTAATTGTATTATTAAATATAGGGCTTTTTTTTTTTTTTTTTTTCCTTTTTATACTGGCTGAGACTTGAATTTCCTGAACCTGTGAGGATGGTGAGTCTGCACGTGGACTGAGAGCCTCCCAAATTCTTGAAGGCGGTGGAGCAAGTTTCATTCCCACTAAAACTGTATGTGTCTAAAAATACAGTTTGCTTTGCAGAGCAGTCACAGCTTTCGTCATCGATGCCATAGAAATGGAAGTTTAACTTTGCATTCAATGGTTAGAGCGGTATCTGTTCACTTACACTTTTCTGGCCGTGCTCCCTTAGGGATTGTTATTTTATATCCCRTTGCAAGTTGGTCGCGCTGTTTAACACCCTGAGATGTTACTAGTTTGGTTCTTGTGAGCATTGTCAAACCCTTTACCGTGAAGGAGGGCACATATGATGCCAACATGGTATTTAGAACATAAGTAGGAAGCCACTTCTTGTGTCCTGTGTTTGACTCTTGGTAACTGCTCAGGCACCCAAGTTCTGCTTCCTTGGA